AAAAAAAAAAAAAAAAAAAGTACAAAGGAAAATATTTCAATAAAGGATAATTTCATACCCCCCAAAAAAGATACTACTCAAATTCAGTAAAATATTTCATATATGAATGATTATTTGCACTTACCAAATAAAAATATACATTGCACAGTTCACACGGTTTTGCTGTTTTAAACACAAAAATTCCAAAGAAATATGTAGAATGACGGAATGGTTTCTTCATCATTGTGATCACTGTGTTATTATTTTTATTTCTAATCTATTATTTAAATGCAAGAATATGTAGAATCATAAAGATTGGAGACTCAAACTGTACCTAATGCAAGCCCAAATGGTTCCAAATTGTTATGAACTTATTTTCAAAAGGAATACATATAGCAGCTGAGTCTTCATGTGTCAGGAGTCAACTATATACCTGGGAGTTCTCTATGTTAACTTCTCTATAGAACATTGTGGCAAATAGATGTTAGGGGAGCTCCCATGTTCTCATCCTATATAATCCCTTTTCTTGCGTGTGAGCAGGACCTGGGACTTGACTCTAACCAACACAATATGGCGAAGGATATACGATGTCACTCCCACAATTACTTTATCTTATATGACTGCTTTTTACAATCTGAAGAAAGAAAGTCTCTGTGTTGCTGGCTTTGAGGAAGTAAGCTGACAGGTTGTAAGAGGACTCATGGAAAGGGCCACAAGACAAAGAACTGTAGGTGGCCTCTAGGAGCTGAGATCGGTATGAAAACCTCAAACCTGGCCAGGCACGGTGGCTCACGCCCTGTAACCCTAGCACTCTGGGAGGCTGAGTTGGGAGGATTGCTTGAGGTCAGGAGTTCGAGACCAGCCTCAGCACAAGCAAGAGCCTGTCTCTACTAAAAATAGAAAGAAATTAGCCAGGCAGCTAAAAATAGAAAAAAAACAATAGCCAGGCATGGTGGTGCATGCCTGTAATCCCAGCTTCCTCGGGAGGCTGAGGCAGGAGGATTGCTTGAGTACAGGAGTTTGAGGTTGCTGTGAGCTAGGCTAATCCACAGCACTCTAGCCCAGGCAACAGAGCAAGACTGTTTCAAAAAAAAAAAGAAAAGGAAAAAGAATACCTCATCCCCACAACTGCAAGCTGCAAGCAGTTGAAAGCAGATCTTTCCCCAGTCGAGCCTCCAGTGAGACTCCAGCCCTGGCCAATGCCTGGAGCAGAGGGCCCAGCTAAGCCATGACTGGACTGGATCAGGAGCTATGAGATAATAAATCTGTGCTGTTTGAAGCCAACTAAGTTTGTGCTAATTTGTTATGCAGCAATAGAAAATAATATAAACAATAATGTTTACTAAAGGATAGAGCAATAAAAACATCTAATTTGAAGTTTGAATATATATTATTATAACTCAATAGTAATTGCATCAATTATTTAGAAAGTAGACAAACAAAAGATTTTGTTTTCCT